AAAAAATTTATTTTCTAATTTATAAAGACAAATTACCCTTTTTAAAAATGTAAATAAATTAGCATCAATATGCGGCTCACCGAATAACTCAAACGCGATTGTTCTTTTCATCATTTACCAATTATCTAGATCTAACCAATGTGTCGTAACGGCTAAAAAAGAATTTCCAGCATTATGAGGGGAACTCCAAACATCACATGTAAGCGACACATCATAACGATGTTCTTGGAATCCTAAAATCATTTTCCCTTGCCGTACGCCACATTTTTATAGCATCTCTTCTAAGGGTAGTATGACTTACTTGAGTATAACGTGGTTGCATTAGTTGTTGAATTGTTGTCGTGAAATCTTCATCATCAAAGTGGCCGAACGACAATGCTTTTGTAATCACGAACTTTGTAAACGCTTCTCGTAATTTTTTGTTGTCGTAAACAAAAACACCACCTTCCGGTGTAAGATTCGATTGACTTGATCCGATCTTGAGCGAATTGTCTTGCATGATTTTGTCAAATGGTTCTTCAATGTTGTGTTTCCTTCCGGTGCAAGCAACTTTAGACAAAGTTTACAACGTGCCCTCCTCGAGCCATTTGACATCTCATATAAATTGTAGTGATCCCAAATATCTTTGTTTCGAGTGTGTTCGATCACTCTCACGACTTCAAGGTTTCCCCCGACGGAAGATTCAGTTGTGTTACTCATGATGAACAAAAATTACAAAAATAAGATTTGAGAAATGTTTAGGTGTTGTATAATAAGATTTGAGAAAGTTGTAATCAACTAAATATATCCTCAATATATTTATACATATTTAGGGTGGTAAAATGATAATTTTTTAAAGAAAAAAAGGATAAAAAATGGTCATAAAACCCCCCCAACGGCTATATTAACGACTAGTTTTTTAAACTTAGACCGGATTTTTTTCGGATAAAAAAGGTTTTTAACCGGTTTTTTTCAAACCGGTTTTTTATCCGGTAAAAAAACCGGTCAAGGTTTTTTTTCTCCAAACCGGTTAAAATAACCGGTTTAAAAAAATCCGACCCGGTTAAAAAAACCAATTTTTCCTAAATTCGGTTTCAGATATTTTTTACGCAAAATCGAATATTCAGATTTTTTGTGCACCTCTACTTACATGTACGAAGAAATGCATGTCATGTGCATACAGCTTTGAATGCTATGTCATTTTCTTATATTACAGATCTCCTTCCATAAAACACTTCTTTTCATATGAACCTTCCCTTTATCCACTCTTACAATTCATTTTTATGAATCCACTCAGCTGACCCTTATTCTATTAATAGATAATCTTTTTCTTCTATTTTTTGTTGCTAAAATGGAATCAAATCAATTTCAAAAATACAATGCATGTATTATCCTAATCATGCTTTAAAGTATTGTATTTTCATTGTATTTTATATCGGCGTTTTTCTAGAAAAATCACCGGTGACCGGTATATTTATCGATCTAACACCGGTCAGACTATATTTCCCGATCTAACACCCTTTGCAGTAAAGCACGCCACCTGCACCGCATTATATGCTGATTTGGCGCAACGTGGGGTAAGGCTCGCCCCCTGAACTACACTATATGCTGACATGGAATACACGTGGGTATAACGCGGCCCTTGGAGCGCGTCTTATGCCACGTATGGTATAGCGCGGGTCAGGGGCTACGCCTTACCTTTAATTCTCTGACATAATTATATATAGCGCGGTGCAGGGGCCGTGCCATACCTTTAACTGATATAATTATATAAGGCGCAATGCATGTACCGCGCCTTGTATAATTATAACAACTTTTCTCGGCTATAAATACCCTTCTCCCCCGGTTAAGTTCCTCACATCTCCTCACATCTCTCCTCTCAACTTTTAAATTAATACAACAATTCTGTCAACGAGTCAATATTATATACTTATTGTTTATTATGATTATTTGAAAAAATATTATACTAATTGTTGTCAATTAATTTCCGTGTTTGTAAAATTGAAAAGCGGGAATATACGTCGAAACAGTTTTGCGGTACAGGTAATAATATAAAATTATATTTCTGTGTCGGTGAAAGTCTCTGTCGACGTCGCGGAAAGGTCTGGCCTCATACATCATCCGGAAGCAGAAACGGTTTCCCGTTACTGTTGAACCACTCATAATAACCGTCAGCAACCATCAAGAGGTCATCAAAAATTGGCTCTCTACGGGGAAGGCGCCGATGTCGATCCTCCCACAACACGAATCACTCATGATGCCTCACCAGCCAATCTGTATATGTCTTGCCGTATCTATCTGTGCTATACAACTAGTCCATATTGCGATGTGCTTCCAGAATTGGTTGAAAACAACCAAATTGCCGGAGCACGCGATCAGTGGAGTGTCACTCGACGGTCGCATAACAGATCAAGGGGACCATCACCATCCAAACATCTGATGGGCCCCTCAACTCAGGTGGGATCAACGCCCTCACATTATCAGTAGAATATGACACCCATTCAAACTAAAACAAATATATATAATTTTTATCAAAAGAATAATCTAATTATATAATTATAATCTAAAATCGATTTTTAAACATTAAAATTCATACCTGTGTGTCAGCCTTCTGATCAACTAGCACCCTAATTTTTTCTAAATCATAAGGTAGCTCTTGATGATTTTTCCTATTAGTAGATCACCTATTTAAGGAAAAAAAATTTATTATACGCTTTATAAAATTATTAATATACGAAATCAGTTTTATAATTACCTCAGGAGTAGTGGAAATATGAATAGGTTCTTCACAACTGGACATAAAAAAGGGCAATCGATACCATGCCCAAGACTGCAGCAGCAGGAGACATCCGTCGATAGCATTACGCCTGTAGTCAATGGCTCGACACATCTCCCTGTACAGTAAAGCCAAAACTACCGAGCCCCAACTGAATGATCCGGCCAGATAAAATTCGCTCAGATGTCGTAACCACATGCAGTGAACTTGGTTGCGCGATTTGTCCGGCATCAGCAACCCTCCTATCAGCTGCAGTATATATGCACGTGCATACATTTTAACTTCATCTCAGACGCGTCCTCGATCAACTCCCGAAAATTGACATATAACCAATTTAACAGTATCCGACCACCGTTAAAACTTTCCGGGACACGTCTTAGATTTTCCCTGCACAAAGTAGTCCAAGAATCCTGCGCGATCCCTGATATAACATCCCCATCCACCGAAAGCCTCAGGTGCATAGCAACATCCTCAAGTGTAATCGTGCACTCTCCATACGGAAGATGAAATGCGTAGGTCTCCGGCCTCCACCGCTCTACTAAGGCAGAGATAAAGTCTGGTTCTATCTTACAGTGACCCTGATATCTACCTATATAACCAAATCCAACCTCTACTAAATACGTCAAGACACAACTAGATATCACTAACTTAAGGTTCCTAATAAAAGGATCTAATACACGGTCATTCTCCTAAAAATAAATAATTACAAAAATTAATTCTTAATCTAATTATCATGCATTAAATAAATCAACAAATTATTACTAATAATTTATATTAAATTAAAACGTTAAAATATTACTGTATCAGCAAAGTGTCGAGATATATGATTTCCATCCAAGCGAAGTAGACCGCCTTCCATTATATATCTGGAAAAAATATATAAGTAAAATATTAAATAAATTAAAATACTTAAATAAATTAAATACAAAATATTAAAAATATAATAAAATATACCTTAAACAGAGAATATAAGAGTATTTGAGAGAAGTTGAGAGAAATTGAGAGAATTTGGTGTGATGAAAGTGATTGAGGATGGGGTATTTATAGGGAGGATTGGGGTGTGAAGCGTTTGGGTATGGAGGTAATTAAACATATAGCGCGGGGCAGTGGGTGCACCTTTCTGACGCGTGGCAGATACACAGGTAAGGCGCGGCCCCTGATCCGCACTATACCCACGTGTATCTCATGTCAGCATATAGTGCGGTGTAGGGGGCGCGCCTTACCCCACGTGACGCTAAATCAGCATATAACGCGGTTCAGGGAGCGTGCTTTATTACTAAGGGTGTTAGATCGAAAAATATAATCTAACCGATGTTAGATCAATAAATATACCAATCACCGACAATTTTTCCAAAAAAAAAAACGCCTTTTATATCATGTATATTGAATTTAATATCACAATCTTTAACCCCTTAAAAGTTACTCTTCCCCTAAAATTTATAGGCAGTTGGTTACTTTTCTCTCTTTTTCTCCTATTATGTAGGGTTTCCTAACATACTTGCTATTCATATTAATTTAATCTACCATATATATAATTTTAAATGTTATTTAATTTTAAGATTTCTATTATTTTTATAATCTTATTTTAAATTAATAAATTTTAACAACAATATTAATATATAATAGTGTTACATCATCAACGTAGATATGTGATAATGTAATATAAGTACTTGAGACGTGTGTGTATATATATATATATATGATTTTATCACGTATGGATTTTAGATGTAAAATTTTAATTCTATAAAATAAAAATTGTATTAAAGTATTAGTAAAATTAGAGTAAAAATAATTATTTAATTAAATATTAGAAATAAATCATAATATTTTATTTTTCTAAAAGTATCTGTTTAATATTAATTAATATTTTCAATCCTAAAATGATAATCTAGGAAGTAGTGGTGGACAGCGCCTAAATTTCAAATTTGGAAAAGGACGTGATGCGGCAAAATCAAACGTTTATGGATTCTTTGTCAAGTAACGTAAGTACCTTTTTTTGAAAAAAAAATCCGTGTCGGTTGAAACACGCGTACATAATTTGTTGGCACCGCCTCCCTCTCCCATGTCGTTCCTCTGGTTTTCCTTTGCTTATACACTGTTGCTTAACTCCGCCCTTTGTTTTTCAATATTTCCTTCAAAACACCATCTTTTATATTCGATAAAGTTATAGTCTTCTCTCTTCGATTCACCAAAGCACAACCGATTCTCTCCTTTCCTTTCTGGGTTTTCTTCTTTGCTCTGTTTTGCTTCGTTTTTGTTGGGAAAAGAAAACAATTTCAAGGATTATTTTTGTGTTGTTTCTCTCTCCCATGATCACTAAAATGGTTTGAGTTTCGGTTGATCCTGCGAATAACCGCATTTCGATTTAATAAATAAACAACAGTTCAAACCTTACTTTCTCTTAGTTTTGGCAACTCCTTTAGCCTTACCATACTCTCCACCCCATTTTCTCTAAGTTTTTTTTTTATTTGAAACATAAAAAACATGGGTAATTCTGGGTTTCTAGCATCAATATTACTACCCACATTCCTTTGTATTCATCTCCTCTCTGGTGGATCTGTTAGTGGTCTTGGTGTGAACTGGGGCACAATGGCGACCCATAAATTGCCTTCAGAGACAGTGGTTCAGATGTTGAAAGACAATGGGATTACAAAAGTGAAGCTTTTCGATGCGGATTCAAAGACTATGGATGCTCTTGCAGGGAGTGATCTTGAAGTAATGGTCGCCATTCCCAACGATCAGCTTCTTGCTATGAATAGCTATGATCGTGCTAAACAATGGGTCAAGAAGAATATCACCACATATAACTTCAAAGGAGGTGTTAACATTAAGTAAGTTCATTCTTCTAACTTTTCTGATGTCAGATTTTTTTAGGTTTTTTATTTATTTGTGTTGACACCATTTTTAAGATTTGTTTAAGTTCATGAGAAGAAAAATCTTCTTCTTGTCTTCAAGTGTGGATTTTGATAAATTTGGTATGATTTTTTTAATATATTTAGAGCTAGAGGTCATATTCTCCTATCTATGTTTGATAAAATGTTATTCAGATTCGAGTGTATATATATTTAAAGATCATATTTTCATAGTCATATCAGAAAATTTGTATTAGTATGTTGAGCCTTTCACTTTGTTTTCACAGGTATGTAGCTGTTGGAAATGAACCATTTCTCACATCCTATAATGGCTCATTTATAAACAACACATTCCCTGCTCTTCAAAACATTCAAAATGCACTTAATGATGCTGGTGTTGGGGACACCATAAAGGCTACTGTGCCCTTAAATGCTGATGTCTACAGCTCACCCGAAAGCAATCCTGTTCCGTCTGCTGGCCGGTTCCGGACCGATATCAGTGGACCTATGTCACAGATCGTCAATTTCCTAGCAAAAAACAGTGCACCTTTCTCCGTGAACATCTACCCTTTCCTCAGTCTTTACGGGAATGATGACTTCCCTTTTAACTACGCTTTCTTTGATGGAGGAAATCCGATTGTCGATAACGGTATTCAGTACACTAATGTTTTCGATGCCAACTTCGACACGTTGGTTTCAGCTTTGAAAGCAGTAGGCCATGGGGATATGCCCATTATTATTGGGGAAGTTGGTTGGCCTACAGATGGTGACAAGAATGCCAACATGGCTAATGCTCAGAGATTTTACAATGGACTCTTGGCTAGACTTGCAGCCAAGACGGGCACGCCTCTACGTCCGGGATACATCGAAGTTTACTTGTTTGGACTTATTGACGAGGATGCCAAGAGCATTGCTCCGGGAAATTTCGAGCGTCATTGGGGGATTTTTCGGTACGACGGGCAGCCTAAATTCCCATTAGATCTTTCAGGTCAGAATCAAAACAAGTTCCTCACTGGTGCAAATGCTGTGAAATATCTTCCACAGCAATGGTGTACGTTCAATCCAAATGCTAAGGATGTCGGCAAGCTTGTCGACAACATAAATTACGCTTGCACTTTCGCTGATTGCACTGCCCTTGGATTCGGGTCCTCGTGTAACAGCCTCGATGCCAACGGGAATGCTTCTTACGCGTTTAACATGTATTACCAGGTGCAAAACCAAAAAGACATGGCATGCGATTTTCAAGGTTTGGGCATAATTTCAACGCAGAATATATCACAAGGGACTTGCAATTTCATCATTCAGATTGCTTCATCATCTTCTTTCTCTTCGGAAAATCCCTCAAGCTCAGTGGCAGTATTATCTATTTTTACCTTATTAACTTCATATTTACTATTTTAACTTTTGATTATTCAGATTATATCCGGTGTATTATTTTTTGCTGCCTATTCCTTTAGATTCTTGTGTCTTGAATTTTGAAGGATTCTTGGGTTATTTAATTTATATCTATTAATTTAACATACAAATCGGATACTAAAAACTTAATTTAACAATACTATATGTTAGACATAAATATTTTCTTTTAAAATTATGAAGTAAAATTAATATATTAAATTATACTAACTAGATTACTGCTTAAATGATTCATTTAAGCAACCTCTCCACTCTTCATATATTCACACTTTGAATCAAAGTCCAAACAGTGGCCGAGGAAAACCTACTATCGACAACGGAATCAAATTAAAGTCCCATTCAAAGGTATATCTTCCAGCAAGTTAAAAGATAAGTGGAAAGTGAAGCTCGAAATAAATATATAATACAGGTCGGTCATTTCAAACAGAGGGAACAAGGTGTAGCTTCCTACCATTGTTGGCTCTTCCTGAATTCTGTGAGGACTGGATATATATTCTCAAAGGCCGTGTATGTCTCGTCTCTCACCTGATTCACTTGAACAAAGAGAATTAGTAATTCTGTTGGACATAGAATGAAGAATGGATGAACATTGGCCCAAATGCAATCACCTTAGCTCCAGTGATCACAATCTTCCCTGACACAAAAATGAGTAGCACAATCTTTGGTTGTTTCATTCGGTAGATCAGGCCTGGAAAGAGTTCTGGTTCATACTGCATTAAAACAACACCAAAGATAAGTCATAATCCTTGTACCAAACAAACGGAGTTGGAAATCGAATAAGCAAACAGACACGAGAAATTATCTAGAACTCATCCAAAGCAGAACTAAATCTATGTATATTATAAGATAAAACTTGTTTTAGAGGCTGTCTAGCCAAATAAAAACTCAAGTCTCAACTTGCAAATGGTGTTTTAAAAACTTTGTACTGAGAATTCTTTACCTCCATCCCTTCGGCTTAACACCCATAAGGGCCCGTAAGTGAAACTCAACAAGCTCACAAAGAAAAGGAAAACTTTGTATGTGCATAATACACGCACAAGGAAGAGCACAGGCAAACAGGCAGTCGTACCTGGAAAGGAAAACATGCCATATTCTTATATAACAGGTAAACAAATAACGAATGCCATTTAAACTTGAAAAGTCACTGTGGGAGTATGCAAGACCTTCAAGTCTGATAGGAAATTTGACATCACAGGACTCGACGATGTTCTGAATTTTGAAGTCCTGCCGATCACAACAAAAAAAAGGTTAAAAACGAGCAGGGTAAAGCACGGTTTGCACAAGAAAATGAATGGTCTAAGTACCTTAAACTTAGCAGGAAACCCAAGCTTTTGGATAATTCTGGCATACTGAAAGCACAAAAATAATGTCAGGCTAGCCAACTTCATTTTGCATCATTCTATCCTAATGATAAGTGTGTGTGTGTGTATGCATATTATATCAAACAACTACTACACATTTAACATAGTTCACAAACACAATTGAAGGCATAAGCATCTCAAAGAAAAATATATACCTTCCTTGCAGCCAGTTTAGATTGCTGTTCACTTTTAGCACCAGTGCGGACCTGAAGAAGCAAGGGAAACTGTTTTAGCTAGGCCTGTAAATGAACTGAACGTTCAGCGAACCGTTCATGAACTGTGCGGCGGGAAGTTCGTTTATGTGTGTTTATTTATTAAATAAACGAACATGAACAAGATTTTGTGTTCGTTTAATTAAATGAACGAACATGAACATAGGTGTTCGTTTCATTTACGTTCGTGAACGTTTGGTTATGTTCGTTTATGTTCGTTCGGTTATGTTCATTCATTTATGTTTAACCCAATCTTCTTAAATCAATTTTGGTGACCAATTTGTAAGTGTCTTAAAAATATTAATTAATCTGATATTTGATGACCAATTCCATTCAACCCAATTTTATTCGAAGATTAAATCCAATATGTTAACCCGTGAGGCAACTCACACCTATATTCATTTCCCCCATTTTTTCGTTTGTTCATGTTCGTTTATATTCGTTTATTTATTAAATGAACGAACATGAACAAGTTATATTCCTTAACAAACGAACATGAACAAAATTTTTTTTGTTCGTTTATGTTCGTGTTCGTTTATGTTTGTTTATTTATTAAATGAACGAACATGAACATACTTCCGTTCGTATGCGTTCGGTTCGTTTACAGGCCTAGTTTTAGCAATTCAATAAGTGAACAATGATAACACGCCTATGTTCAAGTAAATGATGCAAACATTAGTTGTTTACTAAAGGATTTTGATACTGAAAACAACCAAATGAGTGTATATGATTTTTATTTCCAATGGAAGTACCATTTTTCCAGAGGTAAAAATCAAAGCCGTAGTTTTTGGCTCCCTGATTCTCATAATGATAGCAGCAAAACGCTATAGGGTTATTAATAAACAAAAAGGTTAGCAACCAAATATTAACAGTGGAAAGAGAAGCTGCACGAACTGACAAAAACAAAACTATAATTTAACCATCCCATGCATACCTTGGGATTATATTCAGCAAGCAATTTGCTTAAGATCCAACTTGCAATCTAAGTTCACAGTTGATACAATGTTCCTTGAAACACGGTAAAACTAATTCTAAGATTTCCTTATGGTCAAACCCAAGATCATATAGGATTCAGAGCACAGTTCAATAAAAGAAAAAGGAAACTTGTAAAAGGACTTCCCATTTTTTTGGTCTTTTTCAAAAGTTCAATACAGATGCAGACTTTGTTGGTGGTTGAATCATTAAAAAGCTTAAAGCATAGAAAATGTACAAGATCGGATACAGAATTTCAGTCAATCACTTAATCTGTGAATGCAACAATTTTGAACTTCAGTTATACGGTTAGCTGGTTCCACTAAGAACACGGTTAAATTGGATGAGCTTAATTACACTGGCAGGCTAGTAGGCTAAGCTAGTGTAATCATATTTTATGTAATTTATGTATCATCCATAACAAAACTAATCCAAAGACATCCAAGACACTTTCTTTTATCATATAAAGTACATCAAACAAAACATAAAACGATATTACTCCAAAGATATCAAATTAAAGCTTTCCACTATTACACTATAAATCCAAAATCCATTGTAATTAAAATCTTCAAGAGAAACCTACGTTGATACATATTCAAACAGAATCCACTTTGGATTCTTTTTAGCCTATAAAAGAAACAAGAAACTTACACACCATGACCCCTAAACTCCCCATCCTCTTGGCACAATAGAATCAAAACCCAGCTCAAAATTGCCTTACACAAGCCTACTCAAGAAATGCCTATCTACAAACTTCTCATCATTTCAAAGCATGTTTTTATTTATCCTCTTTTTCTATTTTTCTTATTAATTCATATAATTTTGAATAAAATTTAATCATTTTTCTCTCTTTTTTTTTTTTTCAAATCTTACTCTTTAATTTTATCAAATATTCTTTAATTTTTAGTCTTCTTCAATCTCAATCTAACAATAAAATAATATACAATTCTTTTTTATTTATTTATTATTTAGAATCAAACTATGTATCATACACACATTCAATTTTTTATATTTATTCTCTCTTAGTTGTATTTAAGGTGTTTTTTTTAAAGATGGTACTTTGTATTAAGAGGAACAAAGTACACCACCTCAAGGACCTCATTAAAAAACATCCCTAATCCTAAATGGAGGAAAAAGAGTGATCGTAGAACACATAAACTCTTATAACATACACACCATACCCAATCCCTACAATAATCCCCGAACTAGTACATAAGTAAACCTATACTGCCGAACCATAAAAATGAATTTGGATCTAACCAATATAAAACACAGACATCACAAACAAAGTAAAGAACCAACACATCAAATATAACCTCAACAAAACCCAGAATATAAAACGAATAACCAACACTGGGACATGGAGAAGCATACGAGCTGGAACAGACGCAACGAATTAATGGATATCCACCAAAAATAAGCGTTGGCCACCACCCGTACAAAGCTTGATCTAATTCCTTTCAGCGCCAATCAAACAGTAAATAAACTAGTCTTGAACGGTAGGATACATCAAAGTCCAAAGCGGATAAACCAATCACCTACAAGAACAATAATTTTGAAATCCGAAAGCTCAATCTGCTCCAAACTTTAAAACACCGTCACATTCGAAACAAACCCAGATCCTCACCCACACAAACCTTAGTCACCGCTTCAAATACTAGACTTTAACTCGACTTTCGCCGCTTCATAATCTTCTTCTTTCTTTTTAAAACGAAACTGTTTCTTACAGTTTTGTTTAAAATCACGTGTGAACCTTTGATAGCTTTTGAAAGACAAAAATTATCTAATAAAATGGGAAAAGCATGGTTGGTCTGCTGGTATTGCCCCTTTTGCACAGAACAAGAAGTTGCTGCGGGGTCTTCGTCCACTACACCAATAAGCACCTGAAGCGCACCACTAGAATTCACAAGTTGGAAATTAGGACCAATAAAATTTAAAGGGCACTATTAAAGATACTAACTTTTACTAAACATACCAAGTCAAATAATAAAAAAACTCCACTTACTAAATATATCAGGTCAAACTTTTTTTTGCACGTTAGCAAAATCCATATCTATTTTATTTCCCTACCAGGTGCATTTTAGCAAAACCAATTTTTTAACTACCGATTTTTCATTGTTTGTTTTTCAGATCTCAGTTTTCATTTACTTCACTTTTTTTAATAAATAAACATAAAAAATGTTTTATGCTTAACCCTCGACGAAACCCAGGCCTCTGCCGCCTCCACTGTCTCCCATGGTCCTGACGAAGAACCCATAAACCCCAATGATAATCCCATCCAGAAACCTATCTAAAACACAACCTTAACCCTAGACTTAACCCCAAACTCAATCGAAATCCTAACCTATTTCACCCTCTGCTCCCACTTAACATCAACAATGCCACCGTCACTTATGAAAAACGATGAAGGCTCAAACTATTATCATACCCCCACTAAAACAAAACCTAACCTACCCAAAGAAAACTCAAC